TTGTTTCGAACCCAGGAGCTTTTTTTTTTTTTTTGGTAAGATCGAACCCAGCAAGCCTCGAACGAGGCAATTTTGTTTGATGATGATGATGAATTAATTGATTTCATTGAATTGAATGTTTGATTTAGAGTGAACTCAGAAGATTTGAGAGAGAGGATGCTGAGGAAGAAGATGAGGGTAAAATTGTAAATTTAATAAATTAAATAATTATATTTGTTTGATTTGGTGGTCGGGATTTTAGCCACGTCATTTATTTATCCTTGTTGGCAGTTGATGTATTAAATATTTGTACATGTCACTTTCATTCCGTCAGTTAATAAGCCACCTCAGCAAAAATTTGACGGAAGGACCAAATCGGGGTCAAAATGGTAAACAGTAGGGACCAAATCAGGGATTTTTTGAGTTGAGGGACTGAATTGGGGGTCCGTACAATAGTTGAGGGACCAAAATGGGGGTTTAACCAATATTTTAAAACGAGGGGGAGTAATATCTTTTGGAATGGTGGACTTTAACCGAGCCGGCCCAATATTCTAAGATTCAATTCTGGTTCTGGATATGCCAGTCCGGCAACGAAACCGTGATTCGGAGCGGATCCTGATTCGAAGACTGACTGGGTCAACCCGGCCAGATAACCATCTCTACTTATTTTGCCACTGGAAATGGAAACCTAATAAAAGAAATTAATAAAGGTTTTTTTAACTATGCCTTCTAAATTATCATATTAAAGTATATTAAGTTTATTTTTTTATTATAAATTTGTATTAAAATAATGAAAATTAATTTTTAATTTATTAACTATTTACTTAAATTCATTTAATATTAAAATTAATATAATTTTTATATTTTTTTATATATTTACGAAACAAAAAATTTATTTAATACTCCTAAAAATCCATTAACAAATACCAATCCAACGGCGATTATTGAGAAGCTCACGTTTCTACTATAGGAATGGCCACTTATTAGCTTTTCTCAACTTACTCTCTCTCCTCGTCCTCCTCTGAAAACCCTAATTTACAGATTCGGGTTACGAAGTACAAACAGTTACCGCTGCGCCATCTCTATTCAATTATGTAAGCTTCTATTTCCATCTTGTTGAATTTTTAAGCTTTCGATCTGATTCCATGATTAACCTCTTAGAAGTTGATTTTACAACAAGAAATCCATTTGTTTGCTGAATACTAAACCTTTCGTTGCTCGATAAGGAGAAACTGAGCTACTTGTTTGTTGTTTGAAGTCATCTTCTTCCTTTCCTTACCTTACCTTACCTTATCCTCTGTGCTTAACTGAGATCTTATGTGAAAAGTTTTTTTTTTTTTTTTGGGGGGGGGGGGGGTTGATTCGACCCTTGAGTTATTGAACTGGTAATGTTTGCCCGTCATTCTTTTCTCTAAAATTCTATTATTCGGAAAAGGCATTACCTTTCTATTGGGTAGTGAACCCACTGCAGATATTGAATTGAATTGGCAAATGTGAAGGGAAGCTTTGGTGAAGAAGGCTATATCTAAACAGGGGATTGCCTTTCAGTTTACTATTTCTCTTTTAGGTAGTGTTTATTGCTTATTTGCAGTTGTTTTGTCTTGATACCTTCTCACTTTGGGTTCTAGAGTAGATTACCCTTGTGCAAGTTTCAGTTTGAGCTTTTGTGAGTTGTGACATTTTGGTGTTATTTATGTTATTTCCTCTGTCTTTTGTAGGTTGTACCTGATTCAGTTCTATGCCTGAAGCTGATGATTTTTTATGCTTTAAGAGGAACAAGTAAAACTTTTTGTAGATTTTGGGAAACTTCAATTCTACCCCCTGACAGCTTCGGCAGATCCAGTTATCTATTAGTTTTCAATACAATGAGAAAAATCAAAGTTAAAGATGCTTCTAGTTTGTGTACTCTTATATCTGGAGAATCTTATATTCAGCAATCTGAATCAAGTGAGGACAAGGAGTGTTCATCTTTAAGTGTAAAATCTACTCCAGATATAGAAAAGAAGTATGTACATTGTGTTTATGATGCTATCGCTCCTCATTTCAGTTCTACCCGTTTTGCTAAGTGGCCAAAAGTTTCTGCTTTCCTGGAGTCTTTGCCTACTGGGTCTCTTGTCTTGGATGCAGGATGTGGGAATGGGAAATACTTGGGTTTAAATCCTAACTGCTATTTTGTAGGATGTGATATTAGTGCTCCCCTTATCAAAATATGTGAAGATAGAGGGCATGAAGTTTTGGTTGCAGATGCTGTAAATCTTCCTTACAGAACTGGTTTTGGTGATGCAGCTATCTCTATTGCTGTGTTACATCACTTGAGTACAGAAAGTAGGAGAAAGAAAGCAATTGAGGAATTAGTGAGAGTTGTCAAAAAGGGTGGCCTAGTTCTTATTACAGTTTGGGCTGTAGAGCAAGAAGATAGGTCTTTAGTTAACAAATGGACTCCTCTTACTGAAAAATATGTAGAAGAGTGGATAGGACCTGGTAGTCCTCGTGTTCGCAGCCCTTCTTCCATTACTCTTGAGAGCATCCCAGAAACTGACGAAAATGGTTCTGGAAAGCACTTTAAAGATCCAAAGGAGAGTTCATCTGGGAATATATGTGAATCTATAGGTTTAACATCTCAAAGACAAGATGATTCATTGGTTTCTAAACATGA